ATTACATTTTTAGTTTCTGATTAAAATAAAGGTAAATTTGATTAAGGCTATCCATTATCAGTGGAACCTTTGGCGAACCCACAAATATTCTTCATAGATTGTGTGAAATTGCAGTATCGATATTTTGGTAAAGCTTGTATTGAATCCAAGGGTATCGATGTTTTAAAATATTAAATATTTAAAAGAAGTATTATTTATTGATCATTTATTATTTTGCAATAATAAAAATAATACTATCTTATACAGAGTGTCTAAAATTTTTTAATTGATTAGGATCAAAAAAAAATCAACTCCTTTAATTTAAATAAAGACGCCCTGTATATTTTAGGAGAATCAAAGATGCACAATTTAATTGTCTATCAAATTGTGTTATACCATTTTTACCTATCCCATCAAGTTTTCGTAGAAAATGCATTTTCTTATAATTTAGACCTCATTTATCAATATATCCATGGAATATTGACATTTTAGATTGTTTTTAAAGCAACAAATGTACAACATGTACAGGCTAGTAATATTATCGTTTTTAGCAAAACGATATTTGCATCTACTAGGACATTACAAAGTTAAAAGAGCAAAACTACAATCAAAAATTTATAAATTTAATAAACCACTTAATTACATATAACACTATTATTTCCGCACATACACAATTAATTACACTACTTAATTGTATTCGTTAAATAAATTATTATCAATATGTTGTAAATTTAAGATCAGAAATCAATATAATAATAAGGTTAGGGCCAGAATATAGTCTCTGTATGTTATAATTCGCGTTTTTAAAAAATGAAATATCATTTTGGTAAGGTGTTACTTTTATACACACTGTCGGATACCCATACTAAATTCAGTCATTTTAGTATTTGGAGCAATTATTATTAATCAACGCGAAGAACAGTCAGTTAATGTAGGGTTGAATACTTTGAATCATATTAATAGGTCCTCTTTAGGACAAATATTTAAACAGGCGAAACATTTTTGAAAACGTCGCTCATTATATCGACAAAATTTAGTATCTGTACTCTTTAAAAGAAATTTGGTACATCCTTCAAAAATAAACTAAAATGTTAATATTCCATGGGTATATTGATAAATAAGTTCTAAATTACAAGAAAATGCATTTTCTACGGAAACTTCAAGAGATACGTAAAAAATGGTATAATATAATTTGATAGACAATTAGAATTGTGCATCTGAAGCTCGTAAATAAACAAGTGTTCTATTTAAATTAAACAAGATATAGCCGTTTGTAACTAATAATTATTTAAAATAAATTTTTGGGCTACTCTGTATAAATATTATTTACAGTATTGCAACACAATAACTGTTATATAAACGGTATGCGATAAATATTTAAAAAACACAAAACATTGATACTTGAAAACTTATTAAAATAAAGTTGAAACCATTGTCAAACACAACTTTTTTCAAGACATAACCACTAACAGTAAGTAAACATAAAAATTGCATAAAAGACACAGATTAACAAATTTCTTTAAAGCATTGTGGCGAGTCTGAATAATTTTTAGATTGTTTGAAGTTCAGTATGTTAATCAAATTTACCTTTATTTTAATCGTAGAAACTAAAAATGTAATAATATACAGGGTGTTCCATTAAAAAAAATACAACTTTGATATTTTTTATTTATTTGGGACACTCTGTATCTTGTAAAAATATTTTTAAATTGTAGCTCTAATAGTCCTTCAACGAACCCCAAACTTACAATTTGTAAAAATCTCATCGTTTAGCTACAATACTCCGTGTCGTATGTGGTGAACAACCCTGTATATGAAATGTACAGGGTTGCAACAATTGCTTTTTTTTTCAAATAATAGATTAAATTCTTCAAAAATAATCATAATTTTGTCAAAAAAGTTGAAAAATTTAAGAATTTACAAGAGTAGTTAACTTTAAATGTGTATAACTTTTAAAGGAGTAGGTTTATCGAAAAATTTAAGAGACTTTTTTGTAGAGCGTTCAATTCTGTATAAGAAAGTGTGATTGTCATGGCTGTCAGAAAACAAGATCGAGAGAAAAAAAAATATTTGTAAAAAGTGGAAAATTCCTGTGTAATTTAAATGGAAAATGAATCGTCTTTGGTTTATTGGGAATATTAAAGGTTATAAAATTTTTAGACAATAAACTAAAAATTTAGAGGGCGCCGTGAGTTAAATTATCAACTTTGTAAATAACGAACATCCTATTGTATATATTAATATTATTCTATAAATTACTGTAAAAACTTTTTAAAAAACATTTATTAAAGAATCTCAATTCGATCGTAGAAAAAATGTTGTGTGCAATATACATGTGCAAAAAGCATATTTGTTGCACTCAGCGTGATTGCAAAAACACATGCGTCGTCCAACAAATATGTCCTTTTTGCACTAGTTACACAAATAACTATTTTAAATATAGATTTCGAAAAAGAAATTAGTAGAGCTTTATTTCTCTCAAATTCTTGCAACCAACCCTCAACTCACCACACCGCCACCACCACTGTTGAATGAATAAATAAAAAACCGAAAAAAGAAAAACGCAAGCTTTTCAAGCGAGAAGATAGAGGTGCGGCCCATTTTCCAGTTGGAAAATCAGCTCGAGTGCCGCCGGTTCACTTTGCAATGCATTTCCCAGGGGACCGGTTTTTCTGCCACAGCCAACTCCTTGCCACGAACGCTGATGACCTGGGGGGTGGGTACGCATTTTCTTATTGAATAGCGGAATGTATATAAGGTATTTTCCGCTTCGAGGTTTAATACGGACTTGTGGGACCCTCCCGGTGGAGAAAGTATGTAGATGAGATTGTTTGGAAAATCGACATTGTTTGGGAATGGAGAGGAAAAAGTTTTTTCTTTTGTTAGACTTGGCTAAAAGGAAAGTTCGGGAAATTGGAAGAAGTCTCTAAAGGAAACTGCGTTTTTTAAATTTAAATTTACATATACAGAGTGTCAAAATATTCAGTAGACATTAAACTTGTAGTTGCGTAATCGAGGTCGCGATTTTTAAATTGATTGTTGTCGACAATAGACATATTCGAGGTCGGACTAAAATTTAAATTTCCAGGTGGGAATTCACATGGTAGCTCTGCTGTAAAAAAAGTCAAGTTGCAACATTTATATTTATTTATTTCCCGACATTGTCATTCGTTTTGACACTTCAGTTTTGTATTTGGAAACCATAGTTGGCCACGACTTCATAAAAAGGGCCATTTTTTAACCTTTTCAGCGATATAAGCTACAATATCTTTTCTTCGAAAAATTACTGAGTTATAGCCACTTCTTATAATTTTTAAACAATTTTACTTAGTTAGCCATGGAAACAAGTTTAATCGTCTTTGCTCTCAGAAATATGAAGCTGTCACATCCAAACTTTGTAAATTAAAATAAACAAAAATTGTAAATATGAATTTTTCAAATAAAGAAAAGCGTGTAGGATTATTGGTTCAACTTTTCTTGACCATACATTTTCGAGGATACGTTGACCGGTGAACGTTACTTACGTTTTTTAGAGAACGGTTTTCAAGACATATTAGAAAAGTTAAATTTATTTATAGCCAATTCTTATCTTTCTTGACTAATTTCACTTAGATTGCATGGCATTCTTATTCTGTTATGATTTATAACTTATAAAAAGTCAGAATATATTATTAAACGGTTCTTTAACATTACACAAACTAAAACTTAAAAAAATAATATCACTACATACACTTTAAGTTATTTTAGAAAATATTCATAAAATCCGCCATTGTTTTGAGTTACATCTTTTTAAAACTGAATTACTATCTATACTCGCAAAACGACCGGTCGACTTAATTAAACTTCGCTCGTACCGCCACTTCGAGTGCCTCTCTTAATTCATAAGTTTTTTTTGTAAACCTTATTGTTAACCATAGCGCATAAAAAAATCTAAAATGGATAGGTCAGGTGATCGGAGAAGGCCCATGCAATTGGTCCACCTCTTCCTATCCTTCAGTTTGCATAATTGTGATATAAATAATTTTTAACATTTCCTTCATTATAGGGGTGGGGGGGGGGTCAAAATAAAAGTCATTTTGGAACGACTCTATTGATGCGCGAGTATCTACACGCTTTTCTTCATTTGAAAAATTCATATTTACAATTTTTGTTTATTATAATTTACAAAGTTTGGATGTGATAGTTTCACATTTCTGAGAGCAACGACGATTGAACTTGTTTCCATGGCTAACTAAGTGAAATTGTTTAAAATTGTTAAGAATTGGCTATAACTCACTAATTTTTCGAAGAAAACATAATATTATAGCTTATATCGCTAAAAAGCTTAAAAAATGGCCCTTTTTATTAAATCGGGGCCAACTATGGTTTCCATTTAAAAAAACATACGTTTGTGTCATATGTCAAAAATGACAGGCTTTGGAAAGAAACGGAGAACACGATCTCATTAAGGATGTGATTATCTACAACTTTTATCTGAAAACTTTTTTTCTAAAATAGATTATAATGGAATTAGGGATCATTTTTAAAATAGCCGAAATTTGTTTTTTTCGAAATATCTAGTAAGCCATGAACTTTTTCAAAAATTTGAAAGGCGCATATTTATGACCCCACAAAACTGCAATTCTTTCCCCATTTAACCGACTCTCTATCTTCAGTAGTTTCCGAGATAGGCATAGAGAACATCGTAGGAAACTCACCCTGTATATTTATAATCATATAAATAATTTAGTATTATACCTTAGATAGACAATAAAACATACCATTAATTTTCTCCGAGAATTCACCAGAAAAGCACTACATTTACACTAATAAAAACTTTAACAATTGATACACTAAAAACTTACTAAACCATACACTCGCATGTTGAAGAAGTAGGGGATGTTACATAACATTAATAAAAAAAAAACTAATTCACGGCACACGAACAAATTCTACGACGGATGCCAGAAAAAAAAACCGACTGCCCATCCGGCTATTCAAACGACAATTATTTAGGAAAAAACTCGTAAAAAATATACTGACCTCTGTTTAATGGCCATATTTGTGACCTTGTGCGGTTTGTGCACCCCATAAAACAAGGTTAGATTTTATTGCGTAATGGTCGGGCGCATCGGATGCGGTCTTCGTAAAAAAACGGTCTTAAAAATCTTCTTAGGAAAAGGGTTGGTATACACTGGTCAACATAGAATCTAAAATCCGAAAAAAAAAATTTTAAGTAAAACTTCTTAGTAACAGCTATTAAATTGAAGGATTTCAAAGGGCATGTTTGAACAAGTGACATATTATGCTGTTTTAATATAAATATTATTTCCAATTTACATATTTCTGTAATCTGTACAGGGTGGGTCAAATTCGACGCTTTTAAATGGAAATACCCTTTTCTATAGGAGATAGACAAAAACTAATATCGGTGTCTGGAGCTCAATTTTTGTCAAAAACATGATGGTGAAAACAGCACATCAATATCTATTACCGTTTCGGAGTTACGGGGTGTTTTTCAAAAATATGCATTTTTACCAAATCGCTGCAACTTTTTTGCTATGGAAAATGTTGTATTTTTATGAAAACATTTCCAAAGCACCTCTTTACGTAGAATTTAATGTTTTAAGTATAATTTTTTTAAAATTAATAATTTAAGAATTATCAACAGAAAATTTGATTTTTTATATGGGACACCCTGTATATTTTTAATTTATTGAAAAGAATTTAAAATTACCTTTCCAAAAATATAACACACTTGATATTTTGTTCGATTCCTCTTCGAGATATAGAGTATATAAATATTCGGCCCGCTTTAAATAAGTAGGCTTTGAACAACACCGGCTGTAATGCAAAAAAAATCTAGCTGTGAGCATCAATTAAAACGAAAATTTCACACCTCTACTTTTCAACCAATAACATGCTTTAATGTTGACTAGTTACCATGGCAACTGAAAAAATTTCCGGAAATTTTTTGGAGGCGCCACGAAACTTTAGTGGAAATTTTTTGACAGTTGAAAAGGTAAACATAAGATCTACAATCATAATGTGAATGAACTACAATGTCTATATATTGAAATATTACCCATTTGAGTTTTAGCATTTGATGTAACTAAGGTTGGTAATATTTCTTATTTAAGGAAATATGTTAGATATACCTACATATGAATTTCTTCAGAAATTGCCATGTTCTAAAAAAATATAGTTCTGCCGCCTTTATTTAACTAAAGCTGGTATTTTTCTATTTAACGAAATATGATGGATATACACTTGATTTTGATTTCGGGTGTTATCTGGTTTTATATTTTCAATTTCTTCTTTAATGACTTGTTGGTTTACTTTTCCAAATCGCGACATTTCGCTATACACTTCTTACTCTACGTACAGACGTTTTAAAACTAGTAATAGCTTAATAACAGAATCGCAAACAAAAATGACAAAACACATAATATGTCAAAAAAATCAATACCTTGGCCAACTTAACAAATTGAAATTATTTTAAAATGTCATGTTGGATTAATATTTTTTTTTTCAAATTTAGGTGTGAAATTTTCTTACCGAATACCACGCAAGCTTAAATTATTCCTGGAAATTTTCTTTCGGGCACGAATATTTTAGGAAAATTATCCCTCGTCTTCGACTCGGGATAATTTTCAAAATATTCGTGCCCTCAAAAAAAATTCCGAAAATAATTTAAGCTCTTGTGATATTATAAGTGAAAATAATATTTGCTATGAGAGATGCAGAATTTTATAACAATTTAAAATATATTTAACCAACATCAACACATTTAAACATATATGTATATAATAAAAATAAATAGCAAACCAAGACATGAAATTTTGCTACAGGTGTTCGACATATCGACCGTCTTCTGTTATAGACAGACGGGGCAGTTTTTGAACATTTATCGCGGAATTCATTAACACAGTAGGGGTGAAAGATACCCTCTCATAACTGCTAAGTATTTCTAATGCTTGTGTAGATTATACGGAAGAATAAGGAACCTTTATTCTTCCGCAAATATATCCATAGGATTAGATCCATGGGCACTAAGTCAGGCGGCCTCGACGGCCAACGGCTGAGATCTTGGTTCAATTATTCTTGAAATTGGCTGCAAAAATTTGCTGATAACTTCAGCGTTTAAAGGCGGTGCATCGTCTTGCTGGAAAAATATGTTTTCGAGTTCCGTTAAGGGCATATCACCAATAAGGGGTCAAAAGCCTACTAGTTAAAAGTGGCGAACTTTTAAAAATTCTGTATTTCGAAGGGGGTTATAACAAAATATTAAGTGTGCTATATTTTTGGAGAGGTAATTTTAAATTCTTTTCAGTTAATTAAAAATATAGAGGGTGCCCCAAATAAAAAATCAATTTTTCTGTTGATAACTCTTATATTATTAAGTTTAAAAAAATTATACTTAAACCATTAAATTCTACGTAAAAAGGTGCTTTGGAAATGTTTCCATAGCAAAAAAGTTACAGCGATTTGTTAAAAATGTACATTTTTGAAAAACACCCAGTAACTCCGAAACAGTAACAGATATTGATGTGCGGTTTTCAACATCATGTTTTTGATGAAAATTGAGCTCCAGGCACCGACATTAGTTTTCGTCTATCTCCTATAGAAAAGGGTGTTTCAATTTAAAAGCGTCGAATTTGACCCACCCTGTACATTTTCTGTTTCCTCAATAGCCTGCAAATTTTATGGAATACCACCCAAAATACACACTTTTTTTATGCAAATGCCTGATAATGTTAACAACGCCCCTTAAAATTTCTTTAAGAAGAGAAGAAATTTTGAACCTAATCAAAAATTCGTGTGGTCTGTTTTTGTTTACTGTTTTGTTTATTATTTATAGTAATTTACAGTAATTTTGTTAAATTATACAAATGTTCTCGTTGATTATTGGTTTGAAATAAATATGACAAAGTCCTCCAGTGAAAATGTCAGTTGCTTAACTCTAATAACTCTAATTCTGAGCTAGCAAATGAGCTAGATGCTTTGCCTAGAGGGTTATTCAGAAGCTACAAACCTATCGATAAAAATTTGCATGAAAATTTCACACCTCTACTTTTCAACCAATAACATGCTTTAATGTTGACTAGTTACCATGGCAACTGAAAAAATTTCCGGAAATTTTTTCGAGGCGCCACGAAACTTTAGTGGAAATTTTTTGACAGTTGAAAAGGTAAACATAAGATCTACAATCATAATGTGAATGAACTACAATGTCTATATATTGAAATATTACCCATTTGAGTTTAGCAATACCTTGGCCAACTTAACAAATTAAAATTATTTTAAAATGTCATGTTGGATTAATATTTTTTTCAATTTAGGTGTGAAATTTTCTTACCGAATACCACGCAAGCTTAAATTATTCCTGGAAATTTTCTTTCGGGCACGAATATTTTAGGAAAATTATCCCTCGTCTTCGACTCGGGATAATTTTCAAAATATTCGTGCCCTCAAAAAAATTTCCGAAAATAATTTAAGCTCTTGTGATATTATAAGTGAAAATTTACTTTCTAGTACACAACCAGAGGATGTTGGTACACAGGTAAAGTCAAGCTTATTATAACGATTTCCTTAGCTTTAAATCAAATGTTTTTTGGTGTTTGCGCGATCGTGCGATCCTTACCACTTTACATCTCGCTAGCTCGTGTGTTGTAGATTATTTGAAAAATTCTGACAACTGCTTACACTATGTAAGGCAGTGTAGATCTAAAATCCCTTTTTTACCGAGCGATAATAAAACGTAACCTTGCGCAATGACCAAAAGTTAAAAAGAGGTGCAATAAAGTAATTGATGCAGTTCTACAGGTAATAAAAAAAGGATTCGACCCTTAAAAAGGGCGATATTTTCGAAAAAAATCCGAAAAACCGCGAGCCAGGGTCAGGGCAGTTTTGTGAAAGATGGTCCAAGCTAAAGAAGTGTCGTGATAGTGATAATTTTTTTTGTGTCGCTGTTTTATCGAAGGTCATTAGATTAAAAGGACCACTGATGCAAGGAATGTAGTAAAGGTAAGATTTTTTTTCACGTATTGTGTTGAAAATACCCTGTACAGGGTGGGTCAAATTGGAAACCTTTAAAGGAAAACATCCTTGTCTATAGTAAATAGACGAAAACTAATATCGGTGTCTGGAGCTTAATTTTTATTAAAAACATGACAGTAAAAACCGCACATCGGTATCTGTTACCGTTTCGAAGTTACAGGGTGTTTTTCAAAAATGTGCATTTTTAACAAATCGCTGTATTTTTTTTGCTATGGAAAATTTTGTATTTTTATGAAAACATTTCCACAGCACCTTTTTACTTAGAATTTAATGGTTTAAGTATAATTTTTTCAAAATTAATAATTTAAGAATTATCAACAGAAAATTTGATTTTTTATAAGGGATACTCAAGATATTTTTAATTTATTGCAAAGAATTTAAAATTACCTTTCCAAAAATATAACACACTTGATATTTTGCTCGATTCCTCTTCGAGATATAGAGTATATAAAAATTCGCCCGCTTTAAAAAAGTAGGCTTTGAATGGCACCGACTGTAATGGAAAATAATTCTAGCTGTGAGCATCAATTAAAACGAAAATAATATTTGCTATGAGAGATGCAGAATTTTATAACAATTAATATATTTAACCAAATATCAACACATTTAAACTATATCAAATAACAATAAAAATAATAAATAGCAAACCGAGACATGAACATTTCTCGCGGAATTCATTAACTTAGTGGGGGTGAAAGATACCCTCTCATAACTGCTAAGTATTTCTAATTCTTGTCTAGATTATACGAAAGAATAAGGAACCTTTATTCTTCCGCAAATATATCCATAGGGTTAGATCCATGGGTACTAAGTCAGGCGGCCTCGACGGCCAACGACTGGGATCTTGGTTAGCTATTCAATTATTCTTGAAATTATCTGCAAAAATTTGCTGATAACTTCAGCGTTCAGAGGAGGTGCATCGTCTTGCTGGAAAAATATGTTTTCGGTTTCCATTAAGGGCATATCATCAATAAGAGGTCCAAAGCCTACTAGTTAAAAGCACTACAAGAATAATTAGATGCAACGATGATTACAGCATGCCATACTGGTGGTCAGAGCACATACATACTGAAATATTGGCAGTTAGGAAGAAAAGACGAAAGTTTCAGAGAGAAAAAAATGAAGGAAAAAGAATTGTACTATTAAAGGC